TCAGTTCTGGGAGACCCTCTTAGTGAGGCACGGCGTCATGCTGGTCGGCCCGACTGGCGGCGGCAAGACGACTATTTATCGGACACTCATGCAAGTGTTGCAGAACCTCAATGCAGCAGGCCTGAGCGAGGAGCAGCCAGAATACCAGCCGGTCAAAGCGTATGTCCTCAACCCAAAGGCGATCACAATGGGCGAGCTCTACGGCGAAGTGAACAAGCTGACGCTGGAGTGGCACGATGGTCTAATGGCCTACATTATCCGGCAGACGTGCACGGTGAGAATTCGCCATGCATCGGAGCACACAAGCATTCATATGTAACCGGATGAAGGTTGTAAAGACACGAAATCAACCCTGTTTAAGACACTTTGAATTCATTATTTAAAATTTGACATGTGGGCACACGAGCTCACATCTGGCCAGAACACTCTTTGAGTTTACCGTATTTTCCTGGCGTATAAGACGACCCCCTGACTTTTCCAGTTAAAATATAGATTTTGTAAAGAGGTAAGGGGCACAAACAGGAGCTCGGAACCATAGTATAATTAGCGATCCCTAAACTGCACTTGGCGTATAAGACGACCCCCCACTTAGGAGCACAAATTTATGGTGTGAAAAGTCGTCTTATACGCCGGAAAATACGGTAGTTGTGATTCATTTGCGTATGAAGGATTCTACAGAGTGCCAAAAAGGAAAAGTTATGAGAGCAGATAGAAGATCTGGCTCACCAAAAATTACTCGCACCATGCTCATTTTCCGTCTAAACCCTACTCAGAAAGCATCATAAGAGGCCCTATAATTCAAGATCGTGACGTCTAGTATAAGAAGGCATTGATGAATGATCAAAGCACAAATTCTCCATTTAATGTTATAGGAGCCGATACCCAATGTACCTGGGATGAAGCGAAGATAAGACCTGGCGTAGCATCCAAATCGGTTGCGCCACGCAATCCAAAGGAGCGCCAGATTACACTTTGTTCTCGCCTCACATCTCATTTGAACCATTTTGAGCCAGCTTCCTGTTGAACGAGTTGTACTTCGCGACCTGTCCTGAGAGCAAATAGAAAGATGGGAGTCTGAAATTGTATAGAGACTGGAAGTTATAATAAACACATTAGTCGTATGTATGCATAATCGTGGCGAAAGTGACTCAACAAGAGGATATTGAAGAACTAGGACGCTGTAGCGAGGCGACCAAAACGGTTTGCCGGAGTTGTGTAACGAACATGGAGACGTCGAAGAATATGATGCTGCGGGGGCTCAGTGTAGATAAGTGGTGATGCTTTAAAGTCGGACTTGTGACAAAGTCGCTCTGCTTCTGCCGAGCAATTGTCGGCATGTAGACATGTACGCAAGTGGAACTGCTGTCGGAAGATGTTGGCTGAGCACGGTCCTCTTCGAGCTGAGGTCCGATCGACTTGTACCATCACAAAAGAGGACGATAGAAAGTGCTGCGTACGAGATTGTGAGAGGCACGTGAAGATGCATAAGTTTGACAATCCAGGTGGACAACTGCTAGGTTGACGAAACGATTATGTCACATTTACGGGCTCCAGGCTGTAGGCGAGACATGTGTTGGAAGTTTCCACGCCAAACTGTTGAGGTAGGAGCGAGAGGCACAAGCGACGGCGGGATGTGAATGTGGCGCGCAATGACAAAAAGAGGCCGCTTCGGTCAAGCCTGAGGCCAGGAGAAGTTACGACGTCGAGACTTACTGCTTAAAAGGCTTGCCTAATTTTGGATGTCAGCTTCTGATTGGTTCAAAATAGCCCTCTCTGATAGGTCCAATGGTAGGCTTGATTCAGAGTCCAGATTTGATTGATCGACGAAATCAGAGGAAGGATGAGTCATATTCACAAGTGGTCATTTTTGTGAGATGACAGTAATGTTAGAACTGCGGTGCGATGTCGTATAATTAGGTTAAGCCCTCTAGATGGGACTTCTTGAGGCTATACGAAGAGTAACTGGGCTTCGATGAGTCTCCTGAGATAGCATTGTTGGAAAGAGGACGGGTGCTTTCTTAACCTGACTTAAACGCTTTCAAGTTTGTACTACATTATCTCAACCATACTTGCTTACGGATTTGCATTCTCGGTCAGGGCGCTTTATTAGGTCATTTAAGCCTTAGGAACCAGAGCCTGACATTGGCCTTTTTTATATACTTTAACACACACACACACACGAAAACACTGTAGTAAAAGTGACAGGACCAATATAAATGACAATTAGCCAAGCCATCCTATGGTTATATATGGCTATTCATTTTCATTTTTTGTCATGAGTATATGAAAGAGGTAAGATGGAGAAGGATAGTTGTCTTGACCACGTGTTAAAGTGAGACCTTTGCAAGAATGAGTTCCAGCTTTGACGATGTCCATCATATGATGGACGAAAACCCAGCCCATTTTGACCCGAAACAGGGAAGAATGCTTCATGGGCTGCGTCAACCTGAACCCCATTTTCAATCCAAACGGCTGCAGTACAACGGGATTTAGCCGTCGTCTTCTGGTGAGATCAACCTATGAATCACTTCTTCATGCCCTTTCATATGAAATGAAAGTCTTTCCAACAATGATTGAGACGAGTCACTACAGCGCTCCAAGTGGAATTCGAATTGTGGATGTGGCTCAGGTTCGCGGTAGTTACAAAATATTCCCCATAAAGATATGATTTTGGAGAGAGAGGGAGCGATATACCTATTTCTCCCATCTAATTGTGCATGTTGTGTAGCATTTTGGTTATCTTGCTTACCTCCCAACAGATAAGTGGCTTGAATCCTGATTGGGAGATTGATAAGACTTAGAGACTAGGCTGAAATCGTAGTCTTGCTCGACGGAAAACGGCATTTTGAGGCGCATGACACAAGCCACTTCTTGCCACAGTTATGCCCTCTCTTCAAAGACTCATGTGAAGAATCATTATCTCTCTATATACAGGCATACAAAAGTGGTGCGTCCTGACATTAATCATGTTTTTCATACTAGATAGGACGGCCGAGACGGTCACTTTGGGTTTGGTCGTAGTCTCTTTTCGCCGTAAAGAGCTGGTTTCACAACCTGGTTAGGGCGACATGGAGACTTCAAAGAACGTA